AAGAAAAGCTCTCGCGCTATATGGTGGTATATTTTCGATTTTGACATTTACATAGTAATTTAAATCTCAGCTGTTCAAATATTTGATTAAGTATATTATCAATATCATATAATTCACCCCATTGTAGAGTTAGGACCTTTCAGTATGATGATAATATGCTTCCATCAATATAATTATCGACTCTACAAGCTGGCTTTTGGGGTACTCAATTTTGACAGATGATATTTGCCCATAGTAATTAATAAAAAATCTAGCAGTAGTATAAAAGGTTGGTGATATTATATAATAGATAAAGCATTCAATTAATGAAGAAAGCTTTACAAAATAGCCTACGAAATATTTCATTTTCAATTATATATATTGATAATTTTTATAATGGTTTCCAGTCATTTAAAAGAAACCCTTCAGCAACTGTCACATTTGCCATGATGTAATTATACATTATAGCAAAAGATTCTTATAAATTACTTTTAAATTGATTGTGATTTCATACAAGTTTCTATACAGAAGTGGGGCCAGAAAAGGGGAAATATCATAATCTAAATTGAGGCTAAATAAGAGAGAGATATATATATATAGCTTTGCTTGACAACATACACAAGATCGAGGCCTGGAAAGGACTATATATTCTTACATTTGTGGTAATGCAGAACAGACCAAAACTACATGCATACATTGTGTGTACACATTTACTATACATTATCTAGTGCACAACTGTGTGATAGGGTTGCAAATTTTGTGCAGTTTAGTAAAAATGGTTGGCTAATATTACAGTTCGAAATTTAAACAGAGATGTCCATTTAAAATTCATATATTTACTGAATATTTAATGAGAGTCTGTACGCTAACACCGGTCATGTGTGGCACTTTGTAAACAAAACACTTTAAGTTACAAGTGTATTTAACTCTTCAGTCTGTATCTGATAAATGTGTTGAACCTATAGATTTATGGTTAATTGGGAAATATCCTTCGTTGTACATACATTTAAGTCTTTTCTAACATAATAATTACCATGATGGAACTGCACAACATGTACACACGGATGTGTGATAGCTTATTTCATCAAGTTTTTCTAATATGCTTTATACATCGTGGAAATATTGTGGGCACACCAAGCAATGTGTGATTTGCCTTGTAACATCCATCATATTTTTCATTTTCAAAATTATATTTAAGACCTGAGAAGTTTAATGTACATGTTCAGTATAGAGATGATTCCTCTGAAATGACTTTGCATTCCACTTTCCCCCTTTTTCAGATATTTATCCCCCTCTTGTTTAAAAATGAACACAATTTTGTTCTGCTATGCATTTTGAGAAATAGCTGTTTTCCATGCATTCAGACTTGAAACTTGGTTCAAACCTTTGTTGAACAATACCCTTTAACATGAGATAGAGAATTTTTCCTTGGTTTCCTCCCCCCTCCCCCCCCCCTCAAAATGAATGGTATTTTTCAAACAAAAGGAAATATAAGGTTAATGAATGCTAATTAGATACTGCCATGTGGACAGTAGCAATATGTTCCTGTAGTTTAGTTAAATTCCTACTCATAATAGTTGTCTCCGCAGTCAACACTTAACTCAGGAATCTGGTAGCTGAATATCAGCATCACACATTGAAAGACTCTCAATGGTCTACCAAACTGAGAGCTGCGCTGTGGTATCTAGGGATAGAAATATTTCTAGATTATTGCTATTGTGAGTGCGTCATACCAGCATATGGGGATATAACAAGACACCATGAATAAAAGAGGCAAGCATTTTGACTGCTCCCTCACACATTCCAATTTACAGATAGCCATTTCCTGACAATCAAGTTTGGCTCTTAATTGTAACAAGATATTTTAAGTTGTTGATTTACTTGTATATATACATACACGTATAATTAAAATGTTAATAAATTTTCAGTAATGACAAATACAGGGGAAAAACCACAGAAAAAGTATTAGCTTTATGAAATGTATTCAATTTTTCGTATTCAATCCATTTAATGATCATATTAACCCAATTATCAGTAAACATCCTAACCTGAAATTTGTCCCATCATCACTAAACATCCTAACCTGAAATTTGTCCCATCATCAGTAAACATCCTAACCTGAAATTTGTCCCATCATCACTAAACATCCTAACCTGAAATTTGTCCCATCATCACTTAACATCCTAACCTGAAATTTGTCCCATCATCACTAAACATCCTAACCTTAAATTTGTCCTATCATTAGTAAACATTTGCCCCATATCAGTAAACATCCTAACCTGAAATTTGTCCCATCATCAGTAAACATCCTAACCTGAAATTCGTCCCATCATCACTAAACATCCTAACCTAAAATTCGTCCCATCATCAGTAAACATCCTAACCTGAAATTCGTCCCATCATCACTAAACATCCTAACCTGAAATTCGTCCCATCATCACTAAACATCCTAACCTGAAATTTGTCCCATCATCAGTAAACATCCTAACCTGAAATTTGTCCCATCATCACTAAACATCCTAACCTGAAATTTGTCCCATCATCACTTAACATCCTAACCTGAAATTTGTCCCATCATCACTAAACATCCTAACCTTAAATTTGTCCTATCATTAGTAAACATTTGCCCCATATCAGTAAACATCCTAACCTGAAATTTGTCCCATCATCAGTAAACATCCTAACCTGAAATTCGTCCCATCATCACTAAACATCCTAACCTAAAATTCGTCCCATCATCAGTAAACATCCTAACCTTAAATTTGTCCTATCATCAGTTAACATTTGCCCCATATCAGTAAACATCCTAACCTGAAATTTGTCCCATCATCAGTAAACATCCTAACCTGAAATTTGTCCCATCATCACTAAACATCCTAACCTGAAATTTGTCCCATCATCACTAAACATCCTAACCTTAAATTTGCCCCATATCAGTAAACATTTGCCCATCATCCATAAACATTTGCCCACTATCAGTAAACATCCTAACCTGAAATTTGTCACATCATCACTAAACATCCTAACCTTAAATTTGCCCCATATCAGTAAACATTTGCCCATCATCCATAAACATTTGCCCACTATCAGTAAACATCCTAACCTGAAATTTGTCACATTATCAGTACAAATAGCATCAATAAACAATTGTAGTTGAACAGTATATGTGTTGTTTACAGATTAAATCCTTGAATAAACAAATGAAATCAATAAACTTGTTCAAAACATGTTTCAGTAAATAAAAACAATTAATCTGAAGTCATTTTTTCTCTGTTTTTACACTCAAACAGCAAGGCAAATTCATTCAACTCTTTTGATTTTTTTTTTCAATAGAATGTACCTTAAAGAGTCTGCTTCAGTAAAGTATTTAAATAGAAACAGTATCAAAATTACAAGTGACTAACATAGTAATGTAGCTCATAGTAGCTCATATCCCTAAATCCTAGGATAGTGAAAAGAGACATCAATTATTTTTTTCAAATCTAATTAAGAAAGATGTTTAAAGGTTTATAGAATTATGAGTACACTAACTATTCATGCATATTTAAATCAAACACCTTATGAATATTCATTCAAAGGTTACCATGGCGATTCCAATATTATAATGGTTAGCTGTATACATTGTTCCTTCACTACCACAAACAAATGAGGATGTGGCAGACCTCAGTGGTCATTAGGGACTTATTGTGTCTATTTACACAAAAATCAATACACCTGCAATGTACCACCTGTGTGAATTGAATATATATAGGTACCTTAAATAAGACAGACACGTCAACAAAATTGGCAGCTTGTATTCAAGGTTGCCAGTTTAATCCATTTTTAATTCTATTCAATTTGTTACGTGGTTGAAAATTACTTGATTATTTTTTTATTTTCATTTTATGGATAATATTGTTAATGATTAATTTCTTGTTCTTTGACTTCATTATAAATAACTTTTTCTGATTCGTATTGTTGAGAGTGTTTCACTACACTACTTCTACTATAAACCATTAGAGTCATGGTCAAATTGCAGTGCTCCATCTGGATAAAAAGCATAGGTTCTGGGTTCGATACTAGCAGAGGACTGCAAAGAAAATGACTTTATCACACACCATTTCAGTTTTCGGCAGTGTTTGTTTCAAAAGAAATCCAATATATAGATGTATGTGTGAGGATATTAGGTACTGCTGTGTTGTATATTATCCTTCTAATCAACTTCCTGCTGTGTCGTAAATATGGCAACCATCTGTATATGAATTGATTGATCTTCAGAACATAGATAACATATGTGTATGTAGTTTTCCATGTACATTTCACACTGACCTTTGCCATACAACATGTATTTACGAGGTGCATGTCAGAGCTAGTCAACCTATGATACACAGTTTATGAATATACAACATGTGCATAAGGTCTCCTTAGATCTGTTGTCTGTACATATCCAGACTAGCTGCAGATTCATCACTATTACCGGCAAGCTATCCATATACCATTCCACACCACAATATATCATCTCAAAATTTATCGTCACGTATGTGGTCTGTGGTCCAGAGATGAAGGTGATGAAGCACATGATTATAGCATTGACATTCTAACCCCAATCCTCATAAATTTTTACAATGTGTTTCTTCATCACCATCTTTATAAGGACGTTTTTATGCATTACAGGACCAGGGAACGAGTCTGATAGAATGATTAATCAAAGCATTTTTTTAACATACCTAAGCCCATGTCTGGTATTAAACCCACAAATATTTATTAAATTGATGTTCAAAAAGTTCATTTATTCTGTCATGGAAAGCAAACATCAGTTTATTTCAGGTATTTTGTCAGAGAAGGGCTATCAGTGTACTTTTTGAGGCTTAAAATTTAGAATTTTTGAATTCTCACTTGTGAGATTTCCTAAAAGCTGACAGACATTATTGTTAACTTTAATGCTATGTCATTGTTGTATGGAATGGTTTATCAAATTCTGAGTTTTAAGTTGACAAAACCTATTTTGACTCTAAAATATATTTTTCATTAATTTTTTGCAGGATCATGTGTGCTCCTTCGTGCTAAAGTCTCTCATCAGTCTTTCAACACTTATCTTGGTGTGTCTCATACTTGCGTATCATGCATTGGAGATCCAGGTACGTACCACAATATTTTCATGTCAATTTCTTTCTGTTATGTCAATATTTCCCTTGTATTAATGTTGTCATGTAACAAGTAATTTTCTTAATTAAATTGTTTACCTACATATTAGTGTTTGTCAGTTCCATAACTTAATGGAAAATAATGTTTGTATCTTTTGGTGTTTATAATTAACTTTCTTTAACTCATTAACCTGTCAGATTTAATTAACCTGTCAAACTTCTCTCAACTCCATTCTATATATATATATATTGTACAGATAGAATTCCACACTTTTCATGAAAGAATATTTTCAGGAAATCACGGATATATTCAATGTTGATTTCATATGAAATGTATTCAGATGAAATGTATTCCTTGCTGGAATATATTACAATAGAGTTTGTTTTAAATTTTCTTCTAAAAATTTGTCAATAAATTTAAAGTTAAAACAACATATCCGTTTCAGTATTGAACTTATTGTCTTTGCACAAAATTTGTGAACCTGAAGAAATGAAAATGATGTTAAGGCTAAATGAATATTGTGGATTCCATGATGATGTTTGAAGTGAATCAGTTTGAATTTTCCACATTTGTATCAGGTTTATATAATGACTTTCGTCACAGTTACATGAATGTAAAAACATTATTTTTTCAAATATAAATTTTTCACTGTTTAAACAGTTATTTGATGAGAAATAGAGATATCCACGTATTGTTTATTTTTCTCATGTGTTGTTGATACACAAATACAGCATTTTGGAAGCATTTCTTAATTATCATATTTTTATTTCTTTTTCTGAAAATATTATTCACACAAATTTAATTACACATTTAATATTTTAGTGCTTGCCAGCTGCACTTCTAAGCTCAGGAATGGTTTTAAATCCTTTGCTTCCTGGTTCATCTGCCAATTAAGTGCATGCAACACCAAAATTTCATTTCTTCATCTAAGGATATTGTAAATCATAGTGGTATCATTGAGAAATGGGATTACACACTGTACGCTTAATAAAATAAAATTTAGATGATACATTTCAGTTCTGAAATAGAATCCCTTAAAATGACTGACTTGTCAATGACATGTTTCAATTATATCAATCATTTCTATAATATGGTTTTAAAATTCATACAAAATTCATATTTTTGTAAGTTGAAATTATGTTGGTTGAAAAAATATTAAACATTTTTTTCAAAAACATTTAACGAAAAACCTGAAAAGGTAAACTACATATGGTGGGACATAGGATGGTAAGGCAAGAGGGGGACGCATCAGTTTGTGATAAAGAAGCTGATTATAGCTGAACAGGGGAGAGGGGCAAGGTTTTTTTATATTCATCTAACCTTAATTTAATTTTGCAAATCAATGTCTGTGTATTAATATTTTTCTGAAAATTCTACCAGTTGATCAAATGAATTGTATAATTCTTATTTAGATTTTTGTCCCCGTTAAATCCCAAGTTGATATTTAGATGCACTCTTGATGACTCAATTTTTTTCTGTAAATATTTGGAAAAATATTTGGTTGATTGCTAGTACGTGGTAGTATAAAACCAGATAAATAAACAGTATGAGAAATGGGTCTGGCAATTTTTGAATGAAAAAGTAAACATGAGCTACAGTGTGGTTTGACATTAGGTGTAGGCTCTATATCCTAATATATTAGAGATTAAGGTTGGTAACGGCAAGCCATGTTTGAAATTGATTTTACTGGTGACATTTGTGATGAGTGGGAGGGAAGAGGTCTGCCATATGCAACATGTGTGTGACGGCTTACTGCCGCAGCCATCGAACTATGGAGTTGACATCAGCTCTGTGTGTGCACACAAAGCTCTCTGTGTCATATTTACTATGAAATCATTGGGCCAGCAACTGTAAAAACTGCAAGAGGAAATCAAATTAGTTTTAATTATTATAGCCCTATTTAAAATAATTTAAAGACATAATTTTTTTTCTGTTAAACTACGCTCGTCTAAATATTTTGTGACTATTTTTACTTGATTTACTTCTTGTTTTCAAGCAAACTTTTGTCTCAGACACTGTGACTCAGAAATACAATATCCTCATTTATTTTTTATTAAAATTTTCAAAACTGCCATAAGGAATTTGACTTCAGATATGGAGTAATACCCTCAGCCCTTACCTGGTGTAGAATTTTACTCTTGCTTGGACACCTCCGCGTTAAAATAAAAAATATTGATGAAATATTCCTTATACAGTTTCCTTACTCATAACTGTCTTGTAATAAACACTGATCTCACTTTCCTGTAATAATTTACCTGAAGTGGCAATTAAAAAAGGGCTGGTTCGATTTGTTTATGATCCGTTGACTGCTCATTATATCTTCTGTAACAAATTTAGAAGAGGACTTCCTGAAGCAGGCCTCCTGTGCGGCTCTTAAAGTGATAATCAGGCTCTCTAATAAGCTTATCATCATACTTTGTTTAACACTAAATTCAGCTTTAATTCAAATGCTCAAAAGATCATACTTTGCAGTTTCCATCCAATACTTTACTAAACATATTTAAGATGGTTGGGAGCATATTAAGTGGTGAATGACATTTAATGAAAATATTTTCTCACACTTCAACTTAATGCAGGTACTTTGAAGTTAAATCATAGATCTGTATAATGAAAACTTGGTTTTCAATTTCATCATAATGTATTTGTATTTTGGAAAATGTTTTTGTCGAAAATTAATGAAAACAAAACCATTATTCAAGTTATTTTTAAAATTTAATGAAAACACCAAAAAAGGTACTGATATAAAAATGTTCTTTTAGTAAGTTACTGCATTAAAGTACTATGAATATAATAAAAAGTCTACAATGATGTATGTTGGCCATGTGGCGACAACAATCTGACCTGAAGCCATCAAACCAACATAACGACATCCAGCTAGTCTCTCCTTTGGTCTATTACATACAGGAATAAAATGACAAATTTGAATATTGCAACCCTGAGTCCTGACTCCACACAAAACTAATTTGTGTTTGAAATGCATCAAATACATGAAAATTCACACCAATGTTTCATACCAAGGGTTTATGTCTGATAGTAAAGTGTGATACAGTCTGGAGTGCGATCACAGGTCTCATGAATTATTGGCATTCGGAATTTGCTTAAAGAGATACTAGCTTGGCGTTTCATTAAATATTCACTTTCTGGAAAAGATGCAACATTTTTTGGCTGTTAACTATCAATATCAAAACACCATCTCTACCAATCTTTGGAAAGTATCCCAAGAGACAAGTTACATGTAGTTTAATGGTTGAAATTCCCAAAAGTACAATTATAAAGTAACAAATTTGATCTCTCTCACGTGGTTTTATTCTAGTTGCTGTATTTCCAGCAGTTCTTGTGCCTAAAGGATTAAACTAATCTTGTTCTACTGAACAGCAGTTCCTGTAATCTTCGTGTTGAAGCAAATTCACAGTAATACAGCAGATCCTGTAAAAAAATGCACTTTCACTATGTTTTCATTCCAAGAAATCTGGACATGTCTTTAACAGTGTATATTCACATCACTGGCTTACAATAGAAAAAATAAAAGTCTGACATATATCATAATGAATCCTATTCCTAGCAATTATAATTGAATTATTATTATGTAATACGCATTTTCAGATTTGAGATGTGGCTTCTAAATTACAGGTTATTATCAATGTGCAGCGGAAATGCTCCGATGTTTCACATTCAAAATTGGCACCTTGTTCATTACTTGTTATAATGTATTAAATCTATTTCCTGTATTAAAAACAGAGCGTCACCTCGGATATTAAAGAAGTGAGTTTCGTTGTCTCTTTAAAACACATTTCACCTCTATTTCTACGATTCTTGATCAGTGAAAACACAGATACTATATATTGATCAGAGTTCACGCCGTGCATCATAAATGCTTACACCAACATCTGGCTTTAACTCACTTTTCATAATAATAGGTACTTCTCTCTACCTCTTCATCTCTTGTGTCAGAATTTACATATTTCTATCCCTTGTCAAAATCTATAAGGAGGTCAAGACTAAATTGATCACAAAAAAAAAAAAACAGTATATATTTTGTTTGCTTGATTTACATTGTTTTCATAAGAAAATTTCTCTGGTTTATTTATAACTTATTTCAGTAATATAGAGATCAAACCATATGCTGACTCCTGGATTTTGCTTAGTCATCAAATGTTTTGTGGAGCTGCTAAAGACACTGCACTCCCCAACCCAACCCTACCCTCAACTCTCATCTCTTGCAAAAACATATTTTTTTCATCTTTTGCTTTGAATATGAGAAAAGGAAATCTGCGACTTAGCCCAGCCCACTGTATGTGTATTAATGTCCCTTCCCCCAACACTCCTTGCAGAATTTTCTTTACTTGGGGACAGCACAACACCATTTTGAGGCTAATGGAGTCACTAGTGTGGTGGCCCCTGCAATATGGGAGGGTTTTATTCCATGCCTTCTGTTCAGTTGATGTTAAAGAATTAGATATTGATTTGACATCCAACTGCAATCTTTATTTCTTTTCATTCTTTTCTTTGTATTCATCTTCCCTTGTTCTTTCGTTGGTTCTGCTGATTTTGCCTTTTTATGCAATCTTTTTATTTGCAAATTTGTAATGCCAAATGCCCAATAAACTTAAACAGTTATTATAATTTCTGGCCCCTTCTCCCCTCGCACGAGGGAAATATATTCTATGCCCTAGGTTGTTTACTTCATCTAACAAGGATTACAGATAGGGGTCACTTTTATTTGAATGTCTGATATCCTTTATACTGTAAGGAATTTGGACAAATTTTACATGTATTGCACTTAAGAATAAATTTCTACTTTTCAAATGAGATTTTTCTGCCCTAAGTAAAATTCAGTTGTTCCAACTTGTTTCATATTTTCTTCTTGCTAAAGGTCAAGGGAATTGAGGTTTCCATTTTTTTTAGCTTTTTTTTCTTTTGCTCAAATTTGTTGCTATTTGCTTTTATCTGTAATAAAAGAAGAAACACCTAAATAACTATAAGACCAAAGTTC